TCCTGCCTTACCCCACTGTTTACTGACTAGTGCCATTTCATTCTTATTTATTTTCTGTCTTCAAAACATAGCATTTGAGGCTCTGTGTGGAAAGGCCCTGAGTTCTTTTCTTTCCTCTGACTGTCAGTCTCCCTGAGGAGGAGGGCTGATTCTGGGCTTGTAAATTGTGGCATTTACTTTAAATGAAATGACAGGGATGTCTGTTCAAACTAAAAACCTAAAACTCCATGAAGCAGCTCCAGGGGCCAGTAGCTGGAAAGCCTGAGAAGTAATTATGCATGGATGATCCTCTTTCCAGCTTTCCAGTAGTGACTCTCACCAACTAAGGGACTTTTGTTGTTTTTGAGAAAACACAGAGAAGAAAACAAGGAAGAGACAACACAGGTCTTGTTAACTAATCTGGGGAGCCCCAATTTCTCCCAAGAAAAAGCTTTGGCAATCACAATCTTAACAACTTTCTTAAAAGTGATTCTAATATCTTTGGGCATCCTAATTCGGAACCAGGGACTTGCATGCGCTAGTACCTCTCCGTTCTTGAAGCGCTATGCTGCCTACAAATTGGCATTTCCTTGACACCCCTCAAGAACTCATGGGTGTCAGATCACAGAGATATGACACTTGAGCTGAATACGTCAAGTAGCCGAGACACCCTTTGCTAGGTCATTGCACCCAAAGCCTGCTTGACTGAAGTGCCTGGGCTCTCATGCTGGCCACAACCTCACTGTCCTCCACTGAGATCAAAGCTGTCATTGGTCCATTTCTTTTTCAAAGGCTCCAGAGACAGCTCTGTTCATGTTTTTGGTCTTCCCTCTCACGCACGCTGTGGGTCCTCTCCCTTTTCCTTTGGCACTTAGTGGTGTCTCTTCCTCACAGGGACGCCCGCCTGCCTTTCCTTTTACCTCTCTCATCATCTGGTCTTAGGCAATTTTCTTATTTAGAGCTCAGTCACTTTTTTAAAAAAGAGCTAGACAACAATTGGTTTTGTGGATCTTTTATCCTGTATTGTGATTGCTCAATGCTGAGGTGTAGCTGGCAACTAACAAGATGCCAAAGAACTGGTGCGGTTGTCCTTTACCAATGTTCTGTGTATGGACACTGAAATTTGAATTTCATAGAATCGTCAAGTGTCAGCAGATGTTTTTTTTTTTTTTTCTTTCTGGATTTCAAGCAAGGCTTTAAAAACTGTCAGAAACAGTTCTTCGCTAGCAAGCTACAGAAAAATCTGGCATCAGGCCAGGTTTATCCCTTTGGCCACAGTTGGCCAACACCTGCCCTAAGGTCTACCTGCTTTTCCCTCTTGTGAACTATTTCTAGACCAGGAAATAGGTTGCGGCAGGAGGGAGAGCCAATAGGCTCCACTCTGGAGACACTATCCCTGCCCTTTACTTCCCAGACAGGGAAAGGAGAGCCAAAATTGAAGTATATGAATAGAGAGATGTGGGATTATCTACTTTAGGGGCGTTGTTTGGCAAGAGCTTCTGGAAGGGGGCAATAGGGACAACAGAGACATGGAGGTGGGGAGGAATTCTTATTTAAACCACACCAGGCTTGCAGAAGCACACAAAAGCCCCGAAGAGTAGAAGCCACTGTAAGGACTGTCTTAGTCTTGGGCTGTGCACATCCCTCCCCTGTAAGTCTGGTGAATCATCCCTCAGCCTCTGCAGGGACCTGAGATGAGAGTGGCTGCAGGGAATGCAGGACCTGGAGCATCATTGAGAGATTGCAATAACAATTCACTGCCAACGGACTGTCCCAGCAGGGTCCCAGTGCAATAGTCAGGGCCCTGATTGGCACTCTGCCCTTCAGATGGCCAATTAGATGGAATGGAAGAGATCAAATGCAGAATCAATTCACTTCATCTCTGTTTAACTGCCCAAATGAACAGCATGGGAAACTGAGTCTGACCTCATCAGTCAGCCCTGTGCAAGATCTTCTCCTGGTCTCTCATTGTAGATGACCAATTTGGGTTTTGGGGCTAGGACAGAGGATAAGGCTCCAAATTTATGGCTAGAATCAAAGGTAACTTGAAGCAGGGAAGCAGTTGCTTGTTTGGAGCCCCCCTAAAGGGTCTATGCAGGCTGGTAGGTTATCAAGCCTGGTGTGGAAGAGTCCTCCAATAGACTTAGATAAGCAGCAAAAGCAAAACCATACGATAGTTGGGTGGATTACCTTGTAATCCTAACTATCTGAGAGAAAAAAGTGTTGGCTTCCAATCCTCTATCAAAGAGTTAACTAGGCACATTCAGAGCAGCCTGTGCTTTCTTCAGCAAAAAGAAAGGGAAAAAACCCCCACAAAATGGCAAAAACAAAACAAACAAAAAACTCCCCCAAAACAAAACAAAGCAAAACAAAAACAAAAACAAACACTCTCCCAACAAAAAAACAAAACCTCAAATGAGGAAACTTAAAAACCATCATGTAAATTTATGCTTTGGGAGACAGAGTCATAATATATAGTTCAGGTTGACTTCAAACTAAAGATCTTCCTAGTTCAGGCTCTTAAATGTTGGGATTATAGAGTATGCCTTTATAATCCTTTTAAAATAGTCACTTCGAAACAAAGAACAGGCCTTTAGCATTTTTTGAGGGAAGGGGAGGTGTTTGAAACAGGGATTCTCTGGGTAGCCTGGGCTATCCTGGAACTCACTCTGCAGACCAAGCTGGCCTCCGACTCAGAGATCTGCCTGCTTCTGCCTCCTGACTGCTGGGATTAAATGTGTGCGCCACCACTTCTGGCTTACAAATATTCTTGGTTAAGAAAATTTTCGTTTGTGAGTGGTAGTGGAGTGGAGAATGGAGTGGAACCAGAGGTGGAGCCGTGCACTAGTGGCAGTGAGGCTGGGAAAGCTCAGGAGTCATCCACTGGGCTGTGTGAGCAAGAAGGTGCTTGTATCTACAGCGGTTGTGCCTGGCTATCCAAGGACCTGGATGGTTTGTGTACACCAAACATGGCCCACAACAGGTTCACCTTGGTACCAGAGCCAGGGATCTGGGTATCCAGCCAGAGAGAGCAGGGAACAAGGGCACAGTCATATCAGAGCGCTTGGCAGCTGTGGGCACTGACAGTTTCCCATGCATGTGCATTTCTTCCTCCCCAAGATGAGTGATTTGGATAAGGTTTCTAATCTGATTGGGTCTCTTTCCACCCCCAAATGCAATCCTGCAAAGAAGGGAAAGGTTTTTCCAGTGGTGGAACCTCACTTTCCCCTTTCCCTAACCCCGTGGAGATTTGGAGCGGCAGTGCGATGTTGGAGGGCACATGTGTCCCTGAGGGAACAGCCAGTTGCAATGCGCGACCGTCACTATCGATCTACGATTTATGAAAATAAAGCAATATGTGCCTGTTTCGGTGCCTGCCGTTTGCCT